TACTTAACTTCTCTATGCCTCAGTTTTCCTATCTATAAAAAGGGGATAATGATACTTGCCTCCTTTGTAACATGCTTCCAGATCGACTAATGGAAAAGCACTACATAAGAACGAGGTAGTATAAAATTGTATTTGTTACTTGAACCTAACTCTCAACAGGTTGTTTGGATTTTTTTGTGCCCAGGCTGACAAATCAGGTTCATGTTGGCACCATTTGAGCTGCCTTTTTTCTGCTTCCTTTAAGTTTCTTTTGTTGGAGCCCGCCCTGGTGGGAAATGTTGGCTTTTGTTTAACGGGTACATACTGAGAGAGGTTTCTTGTTTTGGAATCAGGGTAGAAAATAAAACAAGAATCACAAACAAGATATCACTGTGAAAAGCAGAGCTAGCTAGGCTATAGGCTCCAATAAGACAGAGAGAACTGGTTAAGCAAGATGAAACCTGTATGTGTGTAATATATATGAAAGTTCTTGGCCTCAATCACTGTTCCCATCTCTCTCTCTCTTTCTTTTTTTTTTTTTTTTTTTTTTTTAAGCGAACCAGCTAAGAGTGTGTGTCTCTCTCTTCAGACCCAGAAATTTTCTTTTTGCATTGTAAGAAAACCGGGATCCTTTGTTCTTCCAAATAATCCCCTTGTGTTGAAGTCCAGTTATCCATTAAGGCCCCAGTGCTGCAATTGGCTGTGTGGGAGTGCAGGGGTGCACATGTGTGCAGTCAATTACGGGATCGGGGTGTCCATCTTCTAAAACCAACTTAAGGTTGCCTGATTTATATATATATATATATATTTTGTCCTAGCCTTTGCATGCAAAATCCTCTTTGCTAGCTCCCTGCCTCATTCATAACAATTAATTTATGTATCCTTAAATAGCATTTTCAAGATGGGCCTTTGTTTATCATAATGACCTCTCTGGAACATCTTTCATGATGCGTGTTTAGCTAGGCAAACTTTGCCCCAAAGCCACGAGTGTAAGTTAAAAATAGAGAAATAACATAAAAGGTCAAAAGGTTACTATGCACACAATTCTAAATTGGATATTCAGCCATTGTCTGTCTGTCTCTCTCTCACACACACAACACACACACACACATTCTGTAGACAGCTCTGAAACACTCCAATGTAAAAATTATTGCATGAGTAAGGATGATCAATTATATTCCAACTCTTGGGGAAAAAAATGGAGAGACGTGTTAAGTGGCTGCTAGAGATGGGCCTGAACCAAAGCCCAGATCCAAACTAATCTGCATTTCAAGCAACACACAGTCTGGGGTTCTCTTTCTAGTGAGGACTAACCATCTTTCTTTTGAAGGTTCTTTTTATTGTTAAAAAATGTGTTTCAATATATCTTCCTGGTGTAACTCCACTGAAATCAATGGAGTTGTACCAAAGATGACTTTGGCCTATGGTAGCGAAAGCTTTGTTGGTAGTTGCTGTGATATTAGTTAATAAAACTGCACTCGTAGCATCTTGGATTGTTATCTTGTCAGGTCTCATAATCTAAACAGGATTAGGTCTGATCAGGATTTACATGGCAGACTTCCCACAACAATTTACATAGGCGGTGCAGAAGGTGATGTAGGTAAATCAGTAGCTGATACTCCACATGAGTCATTACAAAAACAATGTCCAGTTTGTTGTTTGGAGTGGTGAGGTGTTCTCTGTGGGCAGTGTCCTCTGTGAGATATGGGACCAACGCTATGGCCACTTATGGTGATTAAAGATCACATATCTGTTACAAAGGTCTTCACTTTCAGGACATACTCAGAGTCATAATTTTATGACTTACATTTCAGAATTCATGACTCTTGTATTTAAAACTGTGATTGTGTCCACTCTTGACATAATACTTCATTGTAGTTAGTGGCCTTCTTGAAAAATTTCCAGGTGAAGATGGGTGTCCTGCACTATGGCTCTGCACCTCTGGTCAACCCAAACTGAGTCTCAGGTAATCTTGGTTCCTTTCTCCTGCTTCTATTAATTTCTTTCTTTCTTAGTCTTGCTTTTCTTTTAGGGAATGACCCAGCAATCCTTGCACCGATGATAATCCCATTGACTTCCAGCCCGCGCAAAGACTTCAAGGGTCGTCCTTTACACTCCTTTCCAGCTTAGTTTCTTCTCATTTTTCATTCGCCTCTTTTTGTAACTTTTCTAGGTCTCCTAACTCTTTTTCTCTCTTTAACCTCTTGCTCCTTTCCTCTTCCTTCCTTCTCTTCCCTTAGCCTGTCTCTTCTCTTTCCTTAGCCTGTCTCTTCCTTGTATTCTGACTTTACCACCATTTTGTCTTTGTAGCATATTTCTGTAATAACCTCTGACACACTTCTCCTCATATATCTGAAGAAGAAACCCTTTAAAAAAAAACCCTTTACTCAGAAAATTTTGATTTTTCAAGTTGTTAAATCAGTGCAATAATGGGCATGCAATAGAAATCTGGGTCTTTCCACATTTTTACAATATTAAAAATGGTGGACTCCATGATTTTCAGTGGCTGTGATCATTACTTCCTTGCTAACCTCAGTGTTGGTCACCTATTCCATGGGATAAAAACAGTATATGATGGAATTCTTATATCTTTTATGGACCTATTTTGGTTACTTTGAGCATCAAGTCATAGCAGAACATGTCACTGGATTTGCAGGTGCTTGTCCTTACCATTCAGGCTGTACACGTAGCAAGACAGCCACAGTCTTGTAGCAAAGAGGCTTACTTCTGTATAGCTTGTTGCTGTTTAATTTCATTAAACAGCAAACCCTTTGTCCTGCTCTAGCTCCTTACTGATTAAAAATTTATATATAATATAAAGTTTGGGTTTTTTAAACACTGGAAAAAAGTCCTAGTTCCTCAGCACTGGAGGTTCCCAAAAAAACGTACTAATTCAGAGGCAAAGAGAATACATTTGTCCAACCAATGAGAGACTTGATATTGTATCTAAAAGGAAACTTAGAAACTGTTAGCAAATAATAGAATGCTTGGATATTCCATTCTAATGTTCTAAATATCATCTGCATAATAGGAGCATTTAGTTATTTAGCTCACCTCTAGCTGCTGCTGTTTTTTTGTGGTTTCACAAATACAATATAATTTAAATATATTTTATGCATAGCACAGTACTAAAGCTGAAAGGTTTGGCCAGTCATAATCAATTGAATGTTTGTGGAATGTGAATACGAACACAACCTAACCAAATTCACCTAAATATCTGAATTAATATTTGTAGAACATTTGTTTTGCTATTTTGGCCCAACTCTAGACAGCATAGCTTTCTGATGAATACAACTTTGTCACTAACTGGAAGTAGTAATCTTGCTCTATCCATTAGTTACTGTATATACAGCTTGTATATATAATATTTATATTTTTCCCCTAAGTTGTGAAATATATAAAAGTATAATTTCACTAACTGAGAGCTCATCATTCAGATGACAAGGTGCAATCAATAAATCATGCAGCACTTGTGGTTATTCTGCATGTCAACTCATATTTCCATGTCGCTGTCCCCACTGTTACTGAGTGTTTGTGTTGTTGTACCTTTCCACCTCCTCAGCGTTGATTTAGGAGTTATTATTCTGGGCTCATAGTAACTGTAAAAAAAGCAAGTTCCAAGTGTGTCTGCCAAAAGGAGGAAATGAAATGAACAAGTCAACAGACAATTCCACTTGTCAAACACCACTTGCCTCCATCTATGACTTTGTTAAGGAAACCTGTGTTTGGGCAAGTTGCATGAAGTAAACAGATTGCCTTCTTAGTAGGATAACCTCAGTACCCAGTAAAGAATCTTGGTCCCAGCAGTTGTGGTCCTCAATTGAATGAAATGGAAAAACCAAGGCTACTTTTAAAACTTACAAATTGTAAGCTTCTGAATAATGCATTGCAACATCCAGACTGGCTATGTGGGGGGGGAGTTTTTAATGGACAACCAGACGGATAAGGATGGTATTATAAGAAGAGTTTGACATACCAAAAAAAAAAGTACTTGCACACTTTTGAGATTGACTGTCAAATCATTTCACATCTGTACCTAAAGCAAACAGACATAATGCTAACAGCTTGCTACAACTCAAAAATGCCACCCACTAATCAGTCCACCTGTGGAATTATCAGTCCATCTTGCAAGCCGCATACCCGACTGCCAAGAAGCTTGACAAGAAAATGTATATTAAAATGTTGAGTAAGACTGGAAATACAATGTGGTGTAGTATAAACAGAATGCACTTGGTGTGTGGAAAGTGAATATGCCTTTTAATTCAACTTCTGAGTACAGATGATGACCCAACACTGTTTGCTCCTGCCTTTGCCAATTGTGAATGACTAAGATGCTTCACTGACTAGAAGGCATACACACTTCCCCTGTGTGATGGCTTCTCACTCTGTTTTGTAAAATAATTACTTTTTGCATGCAGGGGTAATTAACAATTGCTGGAATATAAGCATTTGCAGGATCATCCTCAGCAAAAATGTACCAAGAAATAAATATTTCCTATGTAATGGATGCACCCTTCACTGTAGGACAAAAATGTTTTATTGAGTGTGTGCATTCCATGAGCATAATTCCTTGAGACTAAATTACACTGGTTACAGCACCAGATAGCCAGGTACTATTTAACATACTGGCAAAATAATCAGTTCACTCTTTTTATCCCCCCCCAAAGCCCAAAAAGAATGTAAAACACCAAGACATTAGAGGAGCAAGTTTTCTGGGACTCTGAGATGGGAAAAGAAGGGATGGGGAATGTGCTGCGAAGGGTAATTATTATGTACAACACAGGATCAGACGGTTGTGCAGTCTGTGGTGTTGCAGGAGATACTGTGGAACGATTAGATTCTTTAGATACTATTCTCTATATGTTCCAACCTCCATTTCCACACAGTAGCCGTTTTCTGTATCTGTGAGTACGAAATGCTATTTTAACATCTGTTCTTTTAAGGCTATTTGCTCTGGGAAGGCAGTGTGTTTTGCCATAAATTTAGGTCATTAATTTGTATCTGTTCTTTGTTTATTTAAGAAACAGGACAAAAGGGCAGCTGCTGAAACATTTGGCTGTGCCGAGGGGTAGTGGGCTCAACATGCCTGGGTTCTGCACACGACCAGCTTGAGTTTGTATCTACAGCTACAGGACAGAACTTTATGGAAACACTTTGCCAAGCCATGTGGCGCTCTGCTCTCCTTTGCACCAGTACCCTTTTAATTATCTGATTCAGGGAGGAGGACGTTCTGGAAAAGTGTTGATGGCATAACAGAAACCTAGAAATCTGTATGCAAACAGGTTTTTAAAAAGTGAGTTTATAAGGCAATTATTTTTTACTGCATTGATTTAAGTGCTGCAATTGGCCAGCAAATCTAACACACTCCAAGTAAATATGACCAATATAATTAGGCATTTATAAACAGAAGCACAATAATACCTAGTAAATTGATTGTTAACAGCATTTAATGCTCTTAAATTGGCCACTAAGTGCAGAATCATTTCTAGGGTATTATTGATATTATAAAGCATTACAGAGGTTTTATTTATTATCTTAAATGTAATGGTGTAAATTAGGTGTGTTTGAAAAGGTCATTTTTTTGCTGCATGATTCTGTGACTTCTAACCAATTTAATCAAACCTGATAGAAAATCACGAGTATTTCCAAATATGTTTGTTTCTCATACAACCACACATATTTTAAAATGTAGCACATTATTATCTCTGCGTGAAACCCAAGCCCCCAATTAAAGTTAAAAACAAATGACCTGATCCTGTAAACACTTAACTCACCATATAGTTCCTACTTATGGGGCAGAATCTGACACATTTATTCCAACTGAGTAGTGTGTTGTTCCATAAGTGATACCATTGAAACCAAAGAGGCTATTTGTAGAGTAAGGTACTATTCAACATGAGAACAAGTATCAGAATGTTTCTCTACAAGTCCCAGTAGGTCTAGTCATACTCCCAATAGGAAGTAGGCAATGGGAATTTTGCAGTTGGTTTCAGTGGAAGCAGGGTTAGGCACATTGACTATAAAGGTTGTATCAGTGGTTCTCAGACCCATTACTAGGCATATTCCATGTATACTTTATAGTCACTAGTCTCTCTAGAAACAACGGTTTAAAGGTGGCTATTGAAGGGTTAGATGGTGAAAAATATTTTGTAAGTGGTCTTCAGGATGCCACCTGAGTTTGACAAAGGGTTCCTCTGGCTTTTGCTGGGTCTTTTGAAGGTACACTAAATTTTAAAATTTCAGGGGATTAGCCATCCTTATGAGGGGTGAATGATAGTTACTGAATCCAAGATCCTTAAAGGTAGTTAGGATCTAAACCCCATGGAAATCAATGGGAGTTAGGTACCTAAATACCACTGAAGATCTGGGCCCAAGTCATGAAATGCTGAAGAACGTGTCATTACAGAAAATCCTAGAGGAACTGTATAATAGGTATGAAACAATTAAGGTTTTATAGAAATTGTTCTTAAAACTGATAGAATTTGTATTCTATCGAATACAGCCATTCAGCGGCGGCTCCAGGCACCAGTGCTCCAAGCACGTGCCTGGGGTGGCAAGCCGCGGGGGGCAGCCTGCCGGTCCCTGCGAAGGCGGCAGTCAGGCAGCCTTCAGCGGCATGCCTGCTGGAGGTCCACCGGTCCCTCGGATTTGGCAGCAATTCGGCGGTGGGTACGCCGAATCCGCGGGACCGGGGACCTCCCGCAGGCAAGCCGCCGAAGGCAGCCTGCCTGCCGTGCTTGAGGCGGCAAAAAAGCTAGAGCCGCCCCTGCAGCCATTGTATAGAATTTGTGTTCCCTCCTATTGATCATATAGAGAATGATGCCCCTCTGTTCATATTCTGTAAGTGGGTTTAAAAATTCTGCAGAATAGTTATTATTCTCCTCTTAAATTCTATAAGTTTTTTCCAAAAGAATGTGACTGCTCCATCCTCAGAGGTATGAAATTCAGACCCCCAACCAAATTAATAATTCCTGGAAATGGGCTTGGCAAATATGTTGCAATTTATCAGGTCTGTAGATAATACACAGGACTCAGATACCAAAATAAGAACCTGACACACACAACTAAATTTTAAAACAAAATAAAAAAAGGAAGAAAGAGAGAAATCCAGTGCTAATTGTAAGATAATGTATTCTCTGTTATAAAGAATGCCCTGCTGATAAAATCCACTGATAATTCTGAATATATTAGACTATTTGAAAACATAAAATGTGAGAATAAGAATATTTATATATGTACTATAGCGATTACTGGTAGTGCTGTATATATTTAAGGTTACCCTGACATTTCATATTATAAGACCCTGTTTTCAGCAAAAAAAAGTTCAGCTATTTCAGAGAATGAAATTGGGGAAAAATACTTTGTTTTGCCGATGTTAAAAAACTCTGACAACCACTTTGTTAAGCACCAGGGGTGGCTCTATGTTTTTTGCTGCCCCAAGCACGGCAGTCAGGTGGCTTTTGGTGGCGCGCCTGCGGGCGGTCCGCTGGTCATGCAGATTCTGCGGGAGGTCCGCTGGTGCTGCGCCTTCGGCGTCCCCACCGCCGAAACCGCGGCACCAGTGGACCTTCCGCAGGCATGCCGCCGAAGGCAGCCTGACTGCCATCCTCACAGCGACTGGCAGGCTGCCCCACCGTGGCTTGCTGCCCCAGGCATGCGCTTGCTGCGCTGGTACCTGGAGCCACCCCTGTTAAGCGCTGGTGCCTCTGTTCTTTGGAGTAGGGACTTGAAATTTGGTAAGGGAGACCCTGGTGTTGGGGATGTAACTTTGACTGTTCCTGTGCAAAAGTACCCAAATTTGGCCAAGTTACAAGTCTTTGAAAAATCTGTTTGTACATGCTCAATAAAGATTTGTTAGAGTTGGTCAGCTAAATTCTCTCAAGATTACATCTTTACTGAGTTTGTTTTAGCTCTGGGCTGTAGGGGCTGGCCAAGACTTTCTCTGCAACTGCTGCTGCAGGCCTCTAGAACATAAAAGAAGGAGCCTATGTCTCCAGTACGCTGTGCCCCCCTGCAGGGCCCAGGCAGTGAGGAGGAGGAGGAGGAACAGGCTGATTCAAATGCATATGTAACAAGAAGTCCTGAGGGAGAGGGCAGTGGAGAGAGTTTACTGGGACAAGGAGAATGGGGGCAACTGCAAATGGAAATGGGAGGGCAGAACTGGGAGGTTGTGGGGTGGGGGAGAGTGGGACTGGCAAGCTGATGGAACTGTAACAAGGTGCCAGGGGGTGGGATGGAAGAGAAACAGCTGAGATGGGGGACAGGCTGAAAGGGATGGGGCAAAAGGGGTCAGATGCCACTTGAGCACAATAGGGGAAGAAGAGTCTTTGCCCACTAGAGAACATTCCCCTTCAGAGCCTGGAATGAAACCCAAGATTCCTGAGTCTCACCATGCCTCTTCTGTCAGCAAATATCTGTGTATCTCTCATCCCTCTCTATTACTGGTCCATACAGAGGATGACAGCCTACTACTTCAATCAGGTACTCTGTTAGCTCAAGTGGCAGAAGTCTTTGCAGTGCAGCTAAAGGTTCCAACCATAGTGATGACAAATGTGGATATCTGAATAGTGTCAGATAATGGAATTTGGGAGGGGAGAGGGGAAGGGGCGTGGGAGGGTTGCTTTTTTAAAGTCTATGAAACTACATATAAAAACAGTGTAAAAAGAAAATTGAGTGCAAAGTCAAGCACTCAAAAATTAGGACATGCGAGATTTAAGATTACCTGTACAACCTTAATTTGTCCCCCTTGTGCATATGCATTATGATAGTCTTTAATTGCATGATCATATACTATTTTTCCACAGGAACCTTGCCTCATTCAGTGCACAGGATCTGGTCTGGAGATGAATCTGGGTTATGTAATGAAGAGGACTGTCTGTAGGACTTCCCTGCCTCATTTGTTGCAGAAGTGTGAAGGCATGCAGTGAATGAAGTAGAAGATTTCAGGAAGAGATAGTATGGTCTCATGGTTATAGCAATCAGATGCTGTCCTGGAGAACTGAATTCTGTCATTGCCTCTGCCACAGAGTTTCTGTGTGATGATGGGCAAGTCACTTAAACAGTAGACAGAGCTGTTTTATCATGACTCTAATGATTTTGGTTTTTTTTTATGAGAACACAATGAAAGGGGCCAACTCACAATTTTTCATTTATTCAAAGTAGCCACCATTTCCCATTACTGTCATCCATAGAGAGGATGATAGCCTACTACTGTCATGGGGGCTGAAGCCAGCAAAATGATTGCCATTTCTCTACTCTCTGCGTCTGGAAGTGAGGCTGCCCTTAATAAAGTTGGGTGCCACCTTCCTCTACTGTTTTCAGTGAGATTGAAACGACTCCCAGAGGCAGGCAAAATAGCTGCCACTCTATGGTTTTGGGGGGCTGGCCAGTGCACAGGCCTGTGAGGAGCAGCAGGCTGTGAAAGATGGATTGGGAGACTGAGGCGGAGCAAGAGGCAGATTTAGGGGTTGTAGAGAAATGGGGGGCAGGAAGGAGGGGTGAGAAGGGAAAGAGGGGAGTGGGAGTTCAGATCACAGACAGCAGGGAGGGGTGGGATGTGAAGGGGGCTCTGGAGCAGGGGGAGGTAGAACAGGGGTGAGGAGTAGAGTGGAGGAGGGAGCCCAAACCAGTGGGAGGCAGTGCGGAGTTGTGGGAGGGAGTCCTGCCCAGGAGAAAGTGGCAGGATGGAAAGTTTTGCTTCTTGCAAAAGGCTAAACCAAACCCCTATTATTTTCATGGTGCTATTATTGCTTATATGAATGATTGATATAATCTTAAAGTTCTTTAGTATATAAAACGGCAACTCATCAACCCTAAAACATAAGTTCTGTGTAGGAGTCTGAATCATAATGCATTAATTAGGCCAGTGGTTCTGAAGCTATTTATCATCCAGCCTTTCTTTTATCAAAGGAAATAAACAAGGATGGGAGAGAGAGTCAAGACAGTAATGTGATGGCAGTGGCCCTATTTTAGCGATGAGGAGAGCTCTCCATATGGTAGCCAGGGAGACATGTACATTTCCGTGTGCATTAAATGTTGACTTTGTGACCTAACGTGTTCGTTTTCTCTCACTCTCACATGGGCAGAGAGAGGGTAGTTAAAAGACAGATTAAAAAACCATCAAATCACGTTTTTTAAATGATTTTTGGTGGCTTGACTCATAATTTTTGGTCTCTTGAGGCTGGCAATACTGCTTAAACAGAATTTTCACAGGCGGCCACTAATTGTCTTCCTCATTTTCTGGGTTCCCAACTTGAGACCCTGGGGTCTGATTTGCAGAAATGCTGAGCACTCACAGCTGCAACTGAAGTCAAAGGAAGCTGTGCTTTGAACATAAAAAATGATATGTAATGGTAAGCACTCTGAAAAAATCAGGCCTTAGGTGTCTGAAATTGGGCACCCAAAAATACTGTGCCTCTGTTCCCCATCTGTAATATGTGGATAATACTACTTCCTTACTTCAGTGGGATGTTGTAAAGTTAAATCAATTAATGTGTGTGAAGCACTCAGATACTATAGTGATAAGTGCCATAGAAAAGCCAATGAAGAAATTAATATTTCTGTCTCCAGAGCAAGGTTTGAATACTGTGCCACATGTTCAGGAATAGAGATAAAACAAAATGTTGAAGAGTTGCTTACTCAGTGACCACTGGCCATCCTGTGCACTGAATGAGGCAGGGGTCCTGTGAAAAAATATATGTAATATGTGATGAAATTTAATGTGGATAAATGAAAAGTAATGCACATTGGAAAACCTAATCCTAACTATACATATACAACGATGGGGGTCTAAATTAGCTGTTATCACTCAAGAAAGAGATCTTGAAGTCATTGTGGGTAGTTCTCTGAAATCATCCACTCAGTGTGCAGCTGCAGTCAAAAAAGCGAACAGAACATTGGGAATCATCAAGAAAGGAATAGATAAGAAGACAGAAAATATCATATTGCCTCTATATAAATCCATGGTACGCCCACACCTTGAATACTGCATGCAGATGTGGTCGCCCAATCTCAAAAAAGATATATTGGAATTGGAAAAGGTTCAGAAAAGGGCAACAAAATGATTAGGGGTATAGAACGACTTCCGTATGAGGAGAGATTAATAAGACTGGGACTTTTCAGCTTGGAAAAGAGGTGACTAAGGTGGGATATGATAGCAGTCTATAAAATCATGAGTGGTATAGAGAATGTAAATAAGGAAATGTTATTTACTCCTTCTCATAACACACGTCTACCCCGATATAACGCGACCCGATATAACACGAATTAGGATATAACGCGGTAAAGCAGTGCTCCAGGGGGGCGGGGCTGCGCACTCCGGTGGATCAAAGCAAGTTCGATATAACGTGTTTTCACCTATAACGTGGTAAGATTTTTTTGGCTCCCGAGGACAGCGTTATATCGAGGAAGAGGTGTACAAGAACCAAGGGGCCACCAAATGAAATTAATAGGTAGCGGATTTGAAACAAACACAAGAAAGTATTTTTTCACGCAATGCACTGTCAACCTCTGGAACACCTTGCCAGAGGGTGTTGTGAAGGCCAATACTATAACGGGGTTGAAAAGGGAGCTAGATAGATTCATGGAAGATGGGTCCATCAATGGCTATTAGCCAGGATGGGCAGGAGCGGTGTCGCTAGCCTCTGCTTGCCAGAAGCTGGGATTGGGTAACAGGGCATGGATCACTTGATGACCTGTCTGTTCATTCCCTTTGGGGCACCTGCCATTGGCCACTGTTAGAGGACAGGATACTGGGCTTGATGGACCTTTGGTCTGACCCAGTATGGCTGTTCTTATGATCGTCATACTAAGACTGTATCATGATGCATATGCACAAGGGTGCTGAATTAAGGTTGTGCAAGCAACCTTAATTCTGGAATTTCCTAACTTTTGAATGCTTGACTTTGCAAGCTTAATATTCTTTCAGTGTAGTTTCTTGTGTGTGGTTTTATAAAACCACACACAAGAAACTACACTGAAAGAATATATATACACAGAGAGAGAGAGAGAGAATTACATACTTTATTTGAATTTTTTCTTAAACCATAATTGCCAATACAAGAGAAAAGCTGAATCTTGTATACTATTAAAAAGAAATGATTTAGCAACCTAGCTGTATTAAGTGTTTTCCTGAGCCCAGTGGAGTGGGGCCCCCCAGCTGTGTTTGTTGCTGTGGACAATAGAGCGAATATACCTGCAAGAACCTGTCCCCCTCACCTCATCCCTAAGACACGAATGGTAAAGAGAAAATGGAAAGTAAGGGGGGGAAAAAAGAATGTCTGTAAACACTGAAAGTCAGAACAGTAAGTACTCATCTAGCAGTAATGTAAGATTAAAGCACGAAATATTCAATGAACCTCTGATTATGAGCATCTGCAAGGGGAGAAGGTCAAAGAAAGAATCATTTGATAGGTCTTCAAATTCTGCAGAAAAAAACAGTCTAGGTGTTGCAAAGATTGTCTTTCACAGTTACTCCTCAACACTCACAGATGCTGGTGGCCCTTTAATGTGAAAACATAGATTCCCCACTAGATCTTGGGCAGACCAGTTATATGAAAATGTGCATAATAAGTGGCACAAAGTCACCAGAACGCTGTGAAAAGGATAAAATTAGCTTTGTACTCGTCTCACTTTGGATAGCTCTTGCTGAACATATGTTGAGAACTGAAGATCAGCATTTGAAGGTAAATAAGAGCAAAACTTCCTAAGTTCTGCAGATGCATTTTTTGCCTGTTCAGGTGATTTGATGAAACAGAGCAAGAGACACAGTCAGAAAGAGAAAAATGCATGAAAAGGCCAGGAAGACCCATTAAAAAATAGGCAGCTATTTGTAATTAAGGCCTGTCAGAATTGTGTATTATTTGGGGAGAGGAAGTAGCAGAAAATGTAGTGGTATTTTCTTAATGTAATTTTTGCATGGAAAAATCATGTATGTGTTTAAAAACAGTACAACATATTGAAATTTCAGCTATTCTGCCTTTATGACTTAAAGGCTAAATCCTGCAGATTTTGCTCATTCCTTACTCAAGTAGTGTTGCTATGATCTTGTGGATGGAAGGAGGTCTCTTAAAAAATCAGTTAAATGCTTTATAGATTAGAACCAGGACTTTGAAGTGGATCCAGAATCCAATGGAAAATGAATGGGGTGCATGGAGTACTCGGTTTATGTGCTTGTCTTGTTCAAGAGATGGGCTGCTGTGTTGTGTAATAGTCAGAGCTGCTTTGTGGCTTTCACAGTCAGCCCCAGGTAGAATGAGGAACAAGACATGACCTACGCATGGATCACAGTGGCTAGTTCCTCACTCACCAGCAATGTGTGCAATTTTAGGCTTGCTGAAGACGGGGCCAAAAGGCAGTTCACTCTCCTAGCTTAGTATTTGTTTATTTATCACATAGAAGATGGCAAAGAGATCTGCTGGTTAGAGCAGGAGACCTGGCTTCTATTCCTGACTCTGCTGCCTACTCACTGGACAAGTCACTATAAGCACTTTGTGCCTGAGTTTCTCCCTCTGCAAATAGGTATAAGCACTTTGAGACTTCCAGATGAAAGTGCTAAAGCCGCGTAAGGCATTGCTATTTATTTCTTGTAACATACATCCTGGCCTGTGTCATTATAGCACTGGGGGAAAAGACCAAAGTAATATTTATATTCCAATTCTAGTTGCACTTTAGTGACTCCCTTGAAAAGATTTCCTTCAGTTTAAACCTCACTATCCCTTCTCAATCACTGAGATAGATTCAAGTGTCTGGAAAGGTTACTTATTATTTGTCATTATGTGTACTCAAAATTCAATGTTTCTTTGGCTAGAAAGCTTAAAACTGTCTAGTTTGATACATTTTTAAAGGTAGAAAGGTTATTTAATAGTAATATAAACTGATTTTAATAAACTCTTTGTGTAATCCAGATTGTAAAGCCACTTCTGAAGGGGTGAGATGTTTGGAAAAATATACCATCTGTTTTCTTTTCTGTTAGTGTTCTGAGTTACAGCCAACAACCTCAGGAGATTATGCTGTATTGGATATTTTATTACTATTGTTGTTTAATCAATTTTATTTGTTTGCATGTGATTATATAGACTATGATCCTTTACTCCTTGTATACACACAAGGGCCACTGAAGCCAATGGG